TTACATTTATATTTTATAGCTTTTCACTGTAATTTGATCGTAATTTTAAAGGTGAAACCTAGAAGAGATGTTTGTGTGTAGGAGAGAGGCTGTAATTAGACTGAAAGACTCAAATAAACCTATCAGAGAGAAAACTTTAGAAGTGGCCAAATTCACAATCTGGTACATTCTTTAAAAGAATGAATGCACTGACCAGCTCAGCAGAACCAAAGGGCCCAAAAGACCACAGAAGACAATTAATGTGGATGTTGAATGAATTTCATACCATCTAACCAAGTCAAGAACACTCTTGAGGAAGCAGGTATATCACTGTAAAAGCCTATAATCAAGAGGTGTCTTTGTCAATGTTAATACAGAGGGTTTATAACAAGGTGCAAACCCCTGGTTACACCAAGCCTGGGAGGGTCAGTTTAGACTTTGCCAGAAAGAAGAGCTGCACAGGTGTGTAAAAAAAGAAATCTTTGAAGCAAAATTAACCTGTACCAGAATGATGGGAAGAGAAGGAGCTCATGATCCAAAGCATGCACATCATCTGTCTAACCTGGTGGAGGAAGCATTATAGCATGGGCACCTGTGTCTGCATGTGGCTGCTGATAGAAGTAACGGGAGGAATTGTGAAGCATCAGCCAAATGCTGCAAAACTGACCAGACTGGTCTTTACCAGTTTATACCAATTTATATTAGTCTTTACCATTGATGCTGAACTTCTCAAAATTGAGGACTACAATTCTTCATGCTAAATTTTTTGTAAAACCTATTGAATTAAAGCTGGAAGTCTGCACTTCAATCGCATGCTGATTGTTTGATTAATAGTTCATTGTGGTGGTGAACAGGGGGCAAGACTACAAAACTTGTGTCTTTGTCTGAAACATTATGGAGAGTAGGGAACGTTTTGTGATCTGGAATATAATGCATGTGGAAAAATACCAAAGATACATCAGGTTCATAAACTTATAGGCAAGAGTAGGCTTTAACCCTCAGCATTTGTTCATTAAATTGTGTCTTGCTTCCACTATCTTTAAGTTTTGCATTTCACTATAACCATAAGATAGCCAGGTCCTAAAATACGATCTAGCGTATTAGAGCTCGCAGGAACACTGTGAATAGTCTCTCATATGAAACGAGCGATCACATGCTTAAATGAGCATACCATTATTCATTGTACTAATCCCACATTACATGTTTTAACAGCTATTAGGGTAATTAATGAAGTGATGGAGAGTGACCTTTACAACTAATGAGCCATATTCATTCATTTGCCACATTTGGGCGCTGTGCAGTTGCACTCTGCAGAATCTGTGAAAATCTTACTATCGAAACACAGGAAGCAGTTTGTGGTGAGCTGCTTCCCTCCTTTCTAGTTCAGTTTCAGGCGCTAAAGATGTACAGTTAAGTGAAGGTGTGATCAGGCTTTTATGGTTTCAGTTGCATGATATCACAAACTATTGACAAACTGGCAGAAACTCGACTCAGAATAAACATGAATATAAAACAGAGGAAATACTTTTTGTCTATGGTGACGTACTGTTTCTTATTAAACTGGGATGCAAGATTAATATGGTGAACATGAATCATTAACTAAATTATTCACCATGTAAAATGGTATTATTTTGTTTTCTTTGAAACACGACATGAACAGGTGGTTTAAAAAGTTAATTTTTATTAATGATCTATCCTAATTTGTTTATTTTGCATTTGGATAAGTCACGTGAACTCAGTAAACTTTACTGAAGTAAGAGCTCGACTAAATTTGAATTGCACTTTATACACTGCTCCAAAAAATGAATAGAAAACTTTCTAATCAGAGTTCAGCATCAGGTCAGTTAAACCTGTGGGATATTGATGGGGTCAGTGAAGTAGCAGAGGGGGCTGTCAATCAGTTTTAGCTGCTTTGGTGTTAATTAAATTAACAACAGGTCCACTAGAGGGGCAACAACGAGACATCCCTTAAAATAGGAATGCTTTCTGCATTTGGCTAGGGTCAGTGTCACTACTGGCAGCATGAGGCAATACCTGGATCCTACAGAGCTCGCCCAGGCAGTCCAATTCCTGAATAAATAAGTGTCATCGCCAGTGATAGAAGTCATTATGAATGGACTTTATAAATGAAAGTTAGGAGAGCTTGTTTAAGGTATTTAAATTATCAGTTAAGAGACAATGAGCTTAGTTTTTGTTAGATTTGCTGCTGTGGGATCATTGGGCTCATTGTTGTGTTACATGACCCAGTTCTGGGCAAGCTTTATCTGCCAGACAGATGGCCTCACATTTGACTTTGATATACAGAGGAGCTCATGACAGTGGGTGCTCAGGTCACGTGACTGCAAAACAAGCCAAAATCAGCACTCCACTAGCTGTGGAAGTGCTTGATAACATTAAAAGAATTAAGTATAACCAAAACTATACTCCTCAGTATGGGACAAAAGATAAATATATATTTCAATATGAGTAAGAAACATAAATTAAGAAAAATAAACAACCTGTTTGTCTTTTACTAATTAAATATTACAATGATTGCTCATGGGAGGTTTTAGAGTGTGGGGAGTGGGCGGTATTGATATGCTTTACAGGGTTAATACAGTGTAGCTATATAGTGCAGTACCAAATTTAGCCACTTGACGGGGATCTAAATCTGATTTGTGCCTTTAGGATTCTCCAGACAAGATCATTCCTGAAAAACTTTCATGGCAAGAGTAAAGCTGTACCATAAAACAGCAATTAAAAAATACACAGGTACAAAAAGAGCTTTAAGGATAAAATCCAAAAGAAATAAATAAAATAAAAATAAGTAATAATACCTGATGTATTGGAATGTATCTGAAATGTAGCCACGACACATGAGCAGAATTAAGATTTGTAGAGCATTTATGGAAAGATAAACCTAAAATCAGTTTTTGGTTTTGCTGCCATTTAGATTTAACAGTAGCTTTGTACTTCTTACCTCTAATAAGGATTTTTCTTTTTCTTTTTTAGCATCCAGATCTAAATGTTAAAACAGAAGATCTGCAAGACCAAGTGCAGATTAGAAATTTGATTTAAAAGAAGAACTCTGTTTATTTAGCATATGGCTATATTGATGGTTTGTTGGTGACCTTGTGCTTATTAAAAGATACTGCTACAAAATTTAGATGCAGTTTCCTCCAAAATGTTATCACATCTGTATTTAAATTAAGACCAGGAAACACCTGTACCAATCAGATGATCAGAGGCCGACTGATACAGTGCGAGTGTGTCACTCTCCTGAACAGACCCACTGACATAGACAAAGACCTAACTGTCTCCAACTGTGGGGTGGAACCAGTGCAGGTGAGGTGCCGACAAGCAGGTGGGTGAAAAATAAGCTGCAAAACTAACCTGAGTGACAAACCAGCGAAAGACAGTGTTTCCTGATGCTATTGCGACGACTCTCGTTCAGTTACATTTAACTTGGATCCTTTTTTTTTTTTTTTTTTTTAATGTTTGTTATAATTTCATGCTCTGAAATTTTATTTCACTCTGAAGAGCCTAAAACTGTTGCCACTATCAGGAAAACATCTATCAGCATATCAAGATCCTAACAACACCTCTGTTCACTGTTGTCTTGCCTCTCAGCATCCAGATAAGTAAGTCATGTAAAATCACATTAGCGTGCATCATAGGTGAACTGTTGACTCTCACTGTAGCAGTCGGCCTCTCTGATCATCTGATTGGTGCTTTTTTTCATTGTTTCCCTGATCTTAATTTAAACCTAGATGTGACCACATTTTGGAGGAAGCAGCATCTAAATTTTGCAACAACTTTCATTATTTCATAATCTTTTAACATGCACCAAGTAACTGGCAAATCACCATTTTAGCCACATTCTAAATAAACAGAGTTTTAGAAACTAGCAGATGTCTTTCTTTAAATCAAGTTTCGAATCTACAGTTCTTCTGTTTTCACATTTCAACCTGTGTGGTAAAAAAAAGAGAAATTTCCATATGATATGATGTTTTTAGGGAAAATGTGTGTTTGTGTATGAGTGTCATTTTTTAAAGTAAGGTAATGGTCAGATACTCTGCTAGGCCTCAATCTAAGAGGTGTAAATATGGAAGCCTCCTTTCTGTCCAGCGCATGATGCCTGGGCGCTGTACAGTGATGGTCCCACCCAGCAGCTGGAAAAAATGCAAATGTTGCTTATGCAATAAAAAGACACTGAAAAAAGAGAATTCATGGATGGGCAGCTTTGCTTAAATCCTCCAGTTTCGACAGAATGGGACTCATGAGGTGACATAATTTAGCAGGAAGTGCAAAGTCAATTCTAATGAATCAGGAGTGATTCCTGTAAAACTGAGTGGATTAATAACGCTTCTGATAAGAATCTTTTGATTGCTTTGTGTAGAACGCGTGTTCTCCTTTTTGACGGACTGTCAAAACACCCTAAGAAACCATAACATTTGAGATAGCATGTGAAATCAGCATATTCCTGTAAACAACAATGCACAATCTGTCACATAATTTATGGTTAAGAAGTAAACTATGGACATGGTTTAAACAACTGATTTGCATGTTAGTTACACTTTCATTACATAACACTGTCTTTTGTGCTGACATTTGAAGGAATTGCTTTTAATTGTCCTGGATTTTGCACAGTAGATTTTTCCACAACATGACGATCCCCATATACATTCTGTTCTTCGAGAGGTGAGTCATGTAACTCGAGGCTGCTGAGAAGACAATTACAAAACAGAAATTTGACTCCAGTGCACAAACTGTACAAACTGACTCAGCTCAAGTCTCAATATTACTTCAACACTCCTACTGATGTATTCATCCGATAGAGCTGAACGTGTAAACAATTTAAAAAAAGAAGTAAAAATAAACTAAAAATACAGTAGAGTAAATCCTTCCATGACTAAATTATGCTTAAATATGCTAAATGCATGTCAAAAACCTCCTATCTCCGTGTAAGTTCTCAGTTATCCAGTTGAGTCATAAGAGCTTGAAAAGAAGGAAGTGGCTTCACCACTGCTAGAACAGCTGGAGTAGAGTCCCTGCTCTATACTCTGCTTTATCAACGTGGACTAATAAAGCAGTGGGTACTAGCCCACTTTTAGAAACAGTGGCCGACTCCAGTGGATGCTGGTCGGGTGCTCCAACAGGAAAATGCCCCTAACCTTGGGACTGTGGAGCATGAATAACAAAAATGAAAGCATAAAACGGCTGGAAATGTTAGGATACGTTCAGTGGATGTTGCAGGTTTCGCAAGCTTCCTCGAGCACTTGGAGAAAACGAATTGGTGGAATTTTCCTCTCTGAATACAGACCTGTGGAGTCTTAATGGAAACGTACCAGAAGTAATCATCAGACATGGTGCAACCTGTGGGCGTAGTGTCAGTAGGTGGCAGTGAATGACATAAATACGAGACACGATACGGTAATTACACAGTATCACAGGACACCTGTATGAGAACAACATGGAAGGACACCACAAAGGTAAGACTTTAGGAAGTTATTCTTTATTTAGATTGAGAGCTAAATTTCACAACCAGGAAGAGTGTTAAATCACCAAGCACTCTAATAATAATAATGATGATGATGATAATAACAATGCTTTCAAATTACTGTATAAAACTCATAGCAGGGTTAATGGGTTGTGGTAGCTTTGAGTTAGTGGTGAGAATCCAGCTATTTGGTTCAAATAGGTGTGCAAAAGGCAATCATGCTTAACTAATGTCTTCCTTAATGAAATTTCATGTCAAATATCATGTTGCTACAGGCAGCTTCTTCAATGTGCTCTGTAGTGTTGGACTCTTTGAGTACTCTGAGGCCAGCTATTACAGTTCTGGGTCTTTGTTGGCATTACAGATTGTAAAATTATCAAGCCAGTGCTTTCTGCTCTCTGCTTTCTGTCTCTGATAGTTAACCCTTTAACGCCTGAACTATGAAATAAGTGCCAGGAAAGTTACTTTTTTTGATACTGGACTTTTTATTCTGACAAATGAGAGAAAAAAAAGAAAATATATAAGTTTTAATTTGTGTCATATCCACTATAGTTAAGAGATATTCTGCCAATTACTAATCTCACTTTGAGGTGCAATAATGTTCTGATCTGTTTTGGCTTTTAGTTTCCTCTTTGCCGTGTTCCAGAGAGGCTGCTTTGATTCGTCTCCTACTGGTGTCAGGGAAACAGTGTTGTTGGGAAACGGGGTTGTTGGGAAACGGGGTTGTTGGGAAACGGGGTTGTTGGGAAACGGGGTTGTTGGGAAACGGGGTTGTTGCGAAACGGGGTTGTTGGGAGACTGTTTAGGGTGTGTTTGAAAGCGGTCAGTCTCAGCACCAGCTGACGTAGGTGACTGTTTTCTGGGACCCTTTTTGGGCTTTGGAGGGCTTTCGAATGGGGTGTGGTTTAAGAACTGGATTTAAAACTTGACTAAAAAATGTGAACACAACTCTGGCTGACCGGCAATTGTTGGTGTTTTTCTGTGTTTGCGTAAAGTCTGTCGGCAGAGTTTCTGTTGGGTGTTTACCCCAACAGCCACAGCTGTGATGACTGGGTGGACCCCATACTTCACTACCCTGCAGAGCAGTGGGCATTGAACTCTAACTGGAATTTAGAAATGTAAAAATAAAAATGTTCTCTTAACTGGATTTAGAGCTTTTATAACCTTTCCTTTAGTGTATTCACCATGTTGATGTTATAATTATGCTATTATGGTTATACCAAGGTGTCATACTATTTTAATGTGGGCTGATACCTGACTCCTCTTTTCTGTGTTTGAAAGATAAAACACTCTTATCCAAATTTCTCTCAGTAAGTCAGTGTTGAAGGTAAAGTGCAGAAGTGAAATCAGCTTTAAGAGAGAAAAAATCTTACAGCAAAGCAGATTACAGAAGAAGGTCTGTGTCAACTGAACGAGGAAGTGTTCCACACTAAGAATAAAAAAAATGGGAAATTGGAAGAAAAAGATGAATTGCTAAATCATTCGTTAAGCACTTTCTTGCCAAACAATCTTTTACTTCAGCCAGCTTTGAGGAAAGCTTTGGAGAGCCTCCTTTATCTTTATCTTCTGTCATGTTTGTACGTAATTTGCATCAGCTGAGCTTTTCAAAATGTATCTAGTTTTTGAGAAAGCCACTGATGTCAGAACTCATATGATTTAATTTGTCTTTATTCAGAGGAGAAAACCAGTGATGTCCAAAGCCCGGCAGATCCAGGTCATCCAGTGAAATGTTCTCCAGTCATCATTGACAATATTCCTCTGAATGGACCCACTGTGAATGTACTCGCATCAGAGAACTTCATTCACCAGTCCATGTCCATCATTGTGGAAAATGCAATAAAAAAGGCCACAGACGTCAGAGAAAAGGTAAACAATGAATGTATGGATATGTAACTATACGACAGCAAATTCTGCTCTGTTTGACTTCGACAGTGACATGTTTGTTCCTGCTGATCAGGTTTGTGAGTGGCGCTCTCCCGAGCAGCTGAAAGAGCTGCTGGACCTCGAGCTGAGAGATGGGGGAGAGTCAGAGTCTGAGATCCTGCAGCGCTTCAAAGATGCCATCAGATACAGCGTCAAGACTAGTGAGTGTTTGAAATTTAATGAACTGAGATCCGAACACAGAGACACCACTTTAGGAAAGTGGCTTCCTGAGCTATTCTGGTGTTTCTGTAGCAGTGATGTGGAGGGACATTTAATGAACCCAGGCTACCAGATGTAAATACCAAATACCCTGCAGACAATCATCAGAACTATGGGTAGATCAGGAGATAATGGCCCCTGGGCATAAACAGGCACAAACAACACGTTCTCACTCCCAAAGCGTAATATTTGATGCTAGGTGACAAATCGTCAACATATTACACGTCTGGGCACCCAACACGTCCCTAAATGACGAGATCGGAAAAATAAGGAAACGTGAGTGCCGTTTCAATCTACACATGCTCGTTCATTTTACTTAAATTTTAACTTTCGAAAACACTATTTAACATCATTAAAGTGCTGGTTAAAGTTAGGGAGAAGGTTATGGGTAGGGTTAGGGATAAGGATAGAGTTATGGCTGGAATACATGGCTGGAACGTGTATTACTGGGGGACCATAATTCTACTGATTTCATCCATAACACTGCGCGTTGCATAAGAACGCGGAAGGTCACCTTTCACGCTCCTCAGGAAATCCGTGACAAGTCGTCGGGATGTTACGCCTCAGGCATAAGAAGCTATATGTCGTTTAGTGGTCCGTCATGCCTTTAATGTAATTTAGCACCTCTTCTACTGTTGACACCTCTTTTCTTTTATATTTCTGACATCAGTCTGCTGGAGTTTTTAATGTCTCTGTAGCTGTTTTGTGTTGGCCGAGGTTTTTTATTTCACTGGATTTTTTTGTAGTTTCTTTGGTTGTCTTTGTAGTAATTTTGCTTGTTCTTTAGTCTCTTTAAAACTCATTTTTTTTGTAATTTTTTTTTAACTCCCTTTTTGTCTCTTTATACTGTTATTCCATTTTTGAGTCAACTTAAAAAAGATGCAGAGTTGTGTTGAACTCTTGAAGATGTAAATTCTGAATGAAGAAATGACACTTTGATGTATTTTACTTACTTACTTCAGGATGTTTGATTAGCCCTCATCTGATTCTTACCTGGCCTGATTCAGCTTTTAATATTTTTTAGCTCATCCTCGTTTCTTCAACCAACTGTATGCTGGGATGGAGCCCTACTCTATGGTGGCAAGCTTCATTATTGAGGCCCTCAAGCCCAGTCTGTGAGTACTGCACTTATTTACAGCTAAATACTTTGTAGAGAAATCTTACAGGATCATTCAATATTCAGTACTGTTGTAAGATTTGGTTTGGTTTTTAACCAGGTACACATACGAGGTGGCTCCAGTCTTCACGCTGGTGGAGGAAGCTGTGTTGAAGAAGATGATGGAGCTGATTGGCTGGAAGGATGGCGGAGATGGAATCTTCAATGCAGGTATAATCGCCGACAGATAATAACAGCAGGTATACCAGAGTTGGAGAAAGAACGTCAACATATCAAGTCATGAAACTGATAAAATAAATGAGTCTATGACATCACCTCTTCTTTTAACAACACCTTGCACATTTTTTAGAAGATAGCCAATTATTGTAGTGATTCAATTCAATTCAATTCAATTTTATTTATATAGCGCCAAATCACAACATAAGTCGCCTCAAGGCGCCTCATAGATACAGAGAAAAACCCAACAATCATATGACCCCCTATGAGCAAGCACTTTGGCAACAGTGGGAAGGAAAAACTCCCTTTTAACAGGAAGAAACCTCCGGCAGAACCAGGCATGATGAAAACCAAATGCTTATACTATACTGGCTGATACAGGAGTTTAACTGCTCAACAGCTTAAAAGCTGCATGATAATGCATCCGGGGAGGGTGACAGGTTCGTATTACAGAAAAGCCAGTTTAGCAACTTCTTGTAATGAGTCAATCAGTTGTGTTATATTACGATTCTTTGAGAAATAAGGATAATCTTGGTGGTAGCATATGTCTCTGATTACGCTGCCTCTACAATTGTTAAGGTTGCCCATGCCGTGTACACAAAAGCTTCCACACCGCCACAGATTATGTGTTTTGAACTGTGTGCGCCATATTTCAGTAAAATAAAGGCTTTGATTTGTGCATCATTGCACTTTGTCACAACCTTTTTGGACACACAGTAGAATGTTAATATCTTTTTCTTAAGAAAATAAACATCTCCTACGTTTTTCCCTTCCAGGCGGTTCAATGTCCAACATATATGCTGTGAACTTAGCCAGGTACCGTTGCTGCCCTGACATAAAGGAGAACGGCCTCTCTGCAGCTCCACGCTTGGTCATGTTCACGTCACAGGAGGTACGTTTTCTAAAAGTCATTACAAAAAAAATTCTTTGACCGATTGTTTTTTTTGGCCACATTTTCTTACTTCCTAAAAGTAAATCCTAAATATAACTTGTCTCAGAAGAAGCTCTTCTCTGTCTTTTGTCTAACCCTCTTAATAAGCAAAACATTCTTTTCTGGCCTCTTTAACACAAATGAATGTTGGCATGAATGTTTTACTTGCTTGATTAAGCAGACAAATCTTGCATCTCTTGAGGGGATGCTTGCCTTGCAAATCTACCGGATTCTTTGAAGAACGGGTCGTGAGGTGAAATTAGATCTGCTTTGTACGACCGTAATTGTTGCATAATTCTTCCTTTATCTCTTTCAGTGTCATTACTCCATTTCCAAAGCAGCAGCTTTGCTGGGGATTGGCACAAAGAATGTTTACGCGATACCATCTGATGAGAGGTAAAGAGCCACTCGCACACTCCCGTCTGTTTACACCTACAGAGAGACCTGGCATTGCACGGTCCAGACTTGGTGTGGGAATACCTCATTGTGTTTCAGTGAAAATGACGCTTAGTCTGCTGGGGTAAAAATGAGTTAGTAAGCTGACTGAATGATGAGTTGCTGTGTGTGTTTTTCAGAGGGAAGATGATTCCTTCTGCTCTGGAGGAGCAAATACTGTCTGCCAAAAGTGAGGTGAGCGAGCAGTCGCTGGCTGTTGTGATGGGCTTTAATTAAAGTTACAGAATTACTGAACAAAATGTTCCTGTGCGTGTGTTCAGGGTGCAGTTCCCTTCATGGTAAACGCCACCGCAGGAACCACAGTGCTCGGAGCGTTTGATCCCATCGATGTAATTGCCGACATCTGTGAGAAGCACAACCTGTGGCTGCATGTGGATGTGAGCCCTATGATTAATTAATCAATTTATTTATTTCCTGTAACCATGTCTGACAATCAGCTCTTCTTATTATAATATTCTCTTTTTTCCTCAGGCATGTTGGGGAGGAGCAGCTCTGGTGTCCAGCAAGCATAAACACCTGTTAAAGGGCATCCACAGGTAAACAGGCAGCTGTACGGATGAAGGCATCATTGCCTCTTAGTAAAGTGAAATGCTGATCGTTTCCTGTTGTAACCTCTCCTCCTGCTTTGTGGTTTTGATCAGAGCCGACTCTGTTGCCTGGAACCCTCATAAGATGCTGATGGCATGTCTGCAGTGCTCGGCTTTCATGGTCAGAGACAAAACGGTAAGCATGAATAATCCTCATCAACAGACTCCTCATCTGTGGTCCAGAAACAGCACATGTGACTGTGGCTTCTTACATTTTCAGCCTCTTTACGGCTCCATTTAGTCAGGCTAAATCTTTGACAGGAAAAAAGTGATAAATTATAACAAGCTTGTCACTACTTGTGTGTTAGCTACACAAGTTAGAAAGAAAACTTTAACATTCAACTACACAAAAGGTCAGTTGAATGTTAGGTTTGGCTCCCACTCACGTCTCTCAAGGCCTGCAAATTCACACCATCGTTAATCTCTCACTGGGCTCTTGTGCTCTTTCTGTTAACAGAAATTCAAACTGGAAATGTAGAGTTTACCATTCCAGACAATAATTGTACTCTTTATGTGTCCGGACCCATCTTCATTTTTACATAAGCCATACACCCTATATACATACATACGTATATATTGGTTGTTGTTGTTGTTGTTTTAACTGAGTTATGTTTGGACATTGCTTCATATGTAATTATTAGGGGTGCAACGATATTCGTATCGATATTGAACCGTTCGATACAGTGCTTTCGGTTC